TGAAGCCGGTTGGATCATTATTGATTCTGATGTGAAGCCGGTTGGATTGTTCCATCATTACTGATTCTGATGTGGAAAGAGCAAAATAATGTCAAACTGTTGTTGATGAACCTGCAAGCAAGAAACAATATGAGGTATCTGTCTCAAGTTAATGCTGAAAGTGGCCCGTGGCTCAGACAAAGTTTTTAAATATTGTTTCTTTTCGTTAACAGAGTTCGACACCCCTACTAGGTAGATTTTTGTTTAGTTTAATTTCAGCTTTTCTTTTGTGTCTTTATACAGTCAGTCCTTCAAACTAAAACAGCCGTTTGTCAGAGTAGCCACGATGTTTTTCACCAAGTAAAGGAAAATGTTTTGTCACAATCGTAAAGACGTTTGCGTGTTGTTGCAGGTTTCGCCCTCAGCCATGTGGTGCGCTACCACGACGTCAAGTGCCAGTACCGCTGCAAGGAGTGCAGTCAGAGCTTCTTCCTGCCCAGCCAGCTGCACCACCACATCAGGCTCATGCACCGACCGGGGCGCTTCGCCTGCCCCTTCTGCTGGTTCCGGTCCGAGTACATGGGAGGCTTCCAGAGGCACTGCAGCGGCTGCAGTGCCCGGGAGGAGGAGGGAGGCGAAGGCACAGGAGGAGGAGGAGAGGAGGAGAACGAGGAGCCCTTGAAACAAGGAAGCTCTGAGCGGTCGATCAAAGTAGAGCAGGACGATGAGAACGACGACTGAAAGGACTTTAGCGCATTTAAGCTTTTACTGTTTTTAATGAAACACGGTGCTGATATTTATTTATTTTTAATCAATCTTTAAAGGTTTCAATTTAATTCAGTTTATTTATATAGCACCAAGTCACAACAGAAGTCGTCTCAGAGCACTGAACAGAAATGTTCATATACATAAAAAGTAAGTTAACGCTATTTAATCTGAGGAGCAGACTCTGTTCGAAAGGACAAGGAGGAACAGATACACAATGGCAGGTCGAGAATCACGTTAAGATAGAAATGGTATAAAATGAAAACTTCAATTTTAACAAATCATTTAAGGAAATGAGATCAATTTGTCTTCCAGTGGTCTTGTCTATAGCAGCATGACAAGGTAACCCTAACTATAGGATTTATCAAAGGAAAGTCTTAAAACTGGACAAAGTGTCAGCTTCATGGACAGAAACTGGAAGTTGGTTCCACAAGAGAGGAGCCTGATAACTGAAAGATCTTCCTCCCATTCTGCTTTTGGAAACTCTAGGAACCACAAGTAAGCCTGCAGTCTGAGAGCCAAGTTTTCTGTTAGGAAAATATGGAAAAATAAGATCTGTAATATAGGATGGAGCTAGGTTGTTGAGGGCTTTGTATGCTAGAAGTAAGATTTTTTTTTGTTATTCTGAGTTTGACAGGGAGCCAATGGAGAGACACTAAAACTCCTTTCGGATTAACTAAAGACTTTTTAAAGAAGTTTTTGGACACCCAGATAATAAACCATTGCAAAGGTTCCTTTCACATTTTCTCATCTGACTCTTAACCAAAAAAGGTAAAGCTAACCCAAACAGGTAGTTCCAGGACAAATTCACACATTACGCCCACGTGTGTCTTGTTTTTATTTGAACCCAAACCTGCTGATGACCACAGAACAACTTTATGAAACTGAAGGAAATCACAAAACAAGCCGGCAACACCAAAAACAAACTCATCACACCGCCTGCTCAGGAGCTAAATAAATAAATAAATGTATTAGCAACACTGACGCTTCTGCTGCTTTCGAGACGTTCGCTCCAAAATCCAAAGAAATTTAGTCTGCTGTATCTTGTGAGACAAAATAAATCTTTTCCATTACAGAAACTTGAAACTGGTTCTTCAGAGTTAAATCAGGTTCCTAAATATAAGAATGTTGCGTTTATTTTCTCTCTCTGAGGTTTAAAGACCTCTTTAAGGGGAACATTCAATGTGTATACGATGAAAACGGGTGCAGCTCGAACAGCTTCGTCTGTCGAATATTTACGTTATTTAAGTTGTTCTTAGCTTATTTAGCTCTAGAAGTTAAATGTTTATAAGAAGCTTATAAACATCCCAGTCACACACAGACGCATAAGCTACATTAGTTAGCCTCATTTCTGGAGAACGTTTTGGACTTTTTCTCACTTTAAAACCTACATCACATCCTGCTGCAGCTGTAAAAACTACAGTTTGTTTATCAGTAGTGTTTCATTTCTGCAGCCCCCCCCCCCAAAAAAAAGTTTTAAAGTCCAAATAAATCAGCTTTTTCTACGTGTAACGAAGTAAACAGCCACCATCTGGTCCGTCTTACCTGAATTTACCGACGTTCTGTGTCAAAAGTAACATTTCTTAAAAATACTCCGCACTCGGGTTTAGTTTGGCAACTGGAAGTTCAAGAGATTCAGTTCACGTGTGGCTCTTTGTTGCTGCTGCCGTCCCATGATCCTTTGCAGGCTGCCCCCCTGACTGAAGGCAGGTCAGAGGTCAAGTGAAGCCAGGACAGCACGACCCCTCCAGAGCAACCCTGTTGATGATCCTCAGGCCGCCGAAGTCGTCTCGGTCTTCTTCGTCGTCGTCTCGGTGGCAGAAGTCACCGTCGTCCTGGTCGTGGAAGTGCGCCGTGTCGCTGGTTGAAGCTTTCTGCTGAGGAGGAGCGAAAACCGAATCAATCAGAAGTAAAGTCAGTTTAATGACTTTTGCTTTCTTTCTTCAAGTTTCTTCTCTAAAGCCCAACAGGAACTGGGGATTTCTTTCTGTAATGTTCTAAAAATACTGACGTTCTGATGTATAAAAACAGAAGACATGAAAACAGTGATGTCATCAACTGTCAGCTTAACTTTCTGTAAAAAAATAATCTGTAAAAACTTTTTAGTAAGGGTAAGGGTTGTAACGATATTATGATATCAAACGATTCTGGTCAATTTGTGGTTCTTGTGCTCCTGGACCTTTTGATACTGTTGACCACAGTATCCTTATATCACGGCTGGAACAGTGGGTTGGGATCACAGGTGCTGCATTAGAATGGTTCCGCTCATACTTGAGTGGCAAGGTTGGTAATAATGTATCCGCCTCATTACCTCTTTCTTGCGGGGTCCCACAGGGTTCGATTCTTGGACCCCTTCTGTTCTCACTTTATTTGCTCCCACTGGGGTCCATCCTGAGGAAACATGGTCTTTCATTCCATTGCTATGCTGATGACTGCCAGATCTACCTGCCTGTGAAACCAGCAAGTGTTTGCTCCATTTACCCTCTGTTAAAATGTCTGGACGACATTAAGGCCTGGATGGCTTCAAGTTTCTTAAGTTAACAATGACAAGACTGAAGTCATTGTTTTTAGCCCTAGCTCAACTGCCGCCACTGATCCTGTCAACCTGGACTCTCTTCAGCCACATCTTAAGCAGTCTGGTAAAAATCTCGGGATGGTTTCCGACTCTGACTTCAAGTTTGACAAACAAATCAACTCTGTTCTGCAGAAAAGCTTCCAACTCAGACAGGTAGCTAAACTCAAGCCAGTATTGTCCAGACCCGACCTTGAGAAACTAGTCCACGCCTTTGTCACGACCCGATTGGACTACTGCAACGCACTGTATGCTGGGATCAGCCAGGCCTCCATCTCACATCTTCAGCTTGCCCAGAATGCTGCTGCTCGGCATTTAACCGGAACTCGTAGGTCTGAACATATTACACCAGTTCTGTCTTCCCTTCACTGGCTCCCTGTTTGTACTAGGATAGTCTTTAAAATTCTTCTGTTGACCTTCAAATGCTTAAAATGGCCTCGCACCCCTTTACCTCTCTGAGCTTCTGGAACCTTACGTTCCCTCTCGGGCCCTGAGATCATCTGATCAGCTGCTTTTGGCTGTTCCAAAAAAAAAAGACTGAAGCTCAGAGGAGATCGGGCTTTTTCAGTCATGGGCCCCAAACTCTGGAACAACCTGCCCCCCAACATTAGGCAGGCCACCTCCCTTCCTCACTTCAAATCTCTGCTTAAAACACATCTGTTCTCTCAGACATTTCACACAGTGTAAATTGATCTAGTGTTTTTTTTTTTTTTTAAATCTGTGACCCTAGGTTTTAAATGTTTTTTATTAATTCTTCAGTTATTATTATTAGTGTATTGTATATATATATTATTTTTTTCTCTTTAATTTTACTCTCATTGATTGTTGTTGTTGTTGTTGTTAAGTACTTTGATAACAGGTTCTGTTTTAAATGTGCTCTATAAATAAAGTTGACTTGACTTTTTAAATTGAACCGGGATTGTGTAAAACACCAGTTCGTTCATGTGAACTCCAACTACCTGTGACCCGTTAAAACTTTACAACTACAAACACGGCGAGTTTTCACAACCGACTGGAAACGATAATTACAGTAGTCCCTCGCTACTTCGCGGTTCGACTTTTGCGGACTCGCTCTTTCAAAGTATATGGCGGCGCTTTAGGGCCACGCATAAAAATAAAAAAATTACAGTCACGCTAAGGAATTTTTTTTTTTAAAGCCATAAAATTACAAGAATAAAGACGTACAAGACTTTTTTTTTTTTAACAGCGGTCTTTTTTTCTTCCACGAGTCAGATCCACAACGTGACCTGTCAATCAATCCAGTAGGCGTGTCAACAAATGACCAATCCGAAGCTAAATGAGTCGTAATATCTGAACTCCGACACGTAAAGCAGAGTTTACCACATTTTAACTGTAGTAAAATGAAGAATGTTTGTTAAACCTTATTGTTATTGACGCTCTTACTCAAAACATGTTCCAACACTGCAACCTACTGTTGTGTTTTTGTATTTTTTGAATACGCGACTCGGCAAAAAAAAAAAAAAGTGTTTTTGTATGCTGCTTCTGGGGTGCGTGTACGCGACGTCATTACGTCGTGACATTCGTTTTTGTTTTCGTTTGAAAACGTCGCTCAGTGAGCGAAACTGTGTGTGCAGCTCTGAGCTTATGTTAGCCGTCTTCAATAAATATCTTATTTCTGTCACTGCAACGCCAACACCTCTGTGCTACAATCCATTTAACAATGTTGAGCATCTTGTTAAGTTATACTTTGGTATTGGTTTTACAGATAAGGACATAGTTAATCTGTCAGCACATCAGCATCAGATTATTATCAGTATCAGGACTCTGAACCTGCTTACAGTAAGGTGGAACGCTCTGATGGGCTGCAGCAGCTCTGCAGGTACAGAGCATTTAGCTTCGGACTGGTCATTTGCTGACACGCCTCCTGGATTGATTGACGGGTCGTGTCGTGGATCCAACTCGTGGAAAAAATAAAAAAAAATAAACGAGAGCTGTAAAAAAAAATTAAAAAGTCGTACAACATTATTTTTGTAATTTTATGGCTTTTAATTTTTTTTTTTTAAATTTGCGTGGCCCTAAAGCTCCGTCGTAAAAGTAAGATTGTACATGATTAAAAAAAAAAAATACACAACACACTTATTAATATTACTCACGTGACTGGGACAGTACCGAATACCGTACAGTAAAAAGTTAAAGAAAAATAAAATACTTCAGACAGGTGCCGCCATTTTGTAGTTTTCTCTCAATAAGCCTACACTGCATCCCAGCACACAAGGACTACATTTCCCAGAAGCTCTGTTGCCTTCTGCTGAAATACATAGAGGGAAAGATTTGATCTGATTGGAAAAAGTTCGGTCCTTTACAGTGACTTCGGTGCCCAGCAAATGCAGAGAGCTGCACGGAACCCACCGGACCAGAACCGGACCTCCAGACTCATCGGTGAATCTGTGTGCTGCCAGTCGGCCCGCGAGAACTTCCGAGCAGGGAGGCGCCACCCGGAGGCCCGGCGTTCTCTCCAGAGCCCACCGGAACTTCCTTCATTCGGATTTAAATTTAATCGGACCACCGTGGGGTCCCGTGCTGGCCATCAGAAGGTCCGGCTCCCTCTAAAAGCATTTTGGTGCTCAAGGGCTGCAGAGAGCTGACCAGAACCAGCAGGTCTGCCGAACTGGAACCGAGCTGCTATTCTGCAGAGCTGGCGAGTAAAATGTTGCAGTACATATACGTACTGTTGTTAAAATGACGTATGTTTAAGAGTTTAGAACATTGCAAGAGTGTGGGAAGGGTTAACTGGAACAGAGTCAAGAACTGGAATGAGAAGGACTGACTCAAGACTTTTACACAGAGGGATCGTTTGAAAGCCACATTTTGTTGGGGACTGAGCTATTCAACAAAATCACGAGGAAAAAAAAATCGATGTAAATACCTCCGGCCTCATCAGAGACATCATAATGTGCGAGGTCAGGGGTCGAACTCTGGTTTTTAAATTCGATTCTTCAACAAACAAATCCTGGTTATTATTTTTTCTATATAAAACTTTGAGCTTTGGTGTTTTAGCACACATTCGGTCAAATATTAGCTCTAAAATAGGAGCAGCCCAGAAGGATTTTTATTTATAAACGTCTATAACAGTCTGTCACTTTTTTTTTTTACTTTATTCTCTTTGATTCAGGGAAAAAAAAAACTAGATAATTTGCATTTCCTGCGAAAATGCAAGTGTGAATGCCTCTTGCTTCCGAATGTCAAGAAACCAGTTGATAAGTAGCTTAAAAAAGCAGAATGAAGCTTCTAATATCAGAAGGAAGCAGAACGTGCACAATTGTTCCTAATACTGCCAAGCTGCTGCCAATATAAACACTTGATCTGACACTGTGTGTTTGGGTTTGCTCTCAGCTGCAACTATACCAACTTTCAGCTAAATAGCTCTAAAAATGCTTGAGTTATTGTATTTTTTCCTTTTTAGCTAAGGTGGCCATTTTGGATTTTTGATTTGGATGCAGTAAGTGATAGGGAACATCATAACCACTATATTTTAGCTCTGTATGTGTAAAAAGCTGAGTTAAATCCATACAACAATGGTGTTGGTGGCCATCTTGGATTTTTGTTTTTCATGCAGAATTTTATGGGAAACAATGTCAGCTGTAATTACACCAACTTTCAGCTAAATATGACTAAAATTGGCTGATTTAGAGTATTTCCATTTTTTTGCTAAGGCGGCCATCTTGGGTTTTTGATTTTTCAATCAGGATCTATTAGGGATCTTTGTCAGCTACCAATATGCCAAGTTTCAGCTGAATAGCTATAAAAATGGCAGAGTTATCAAAGGGTTTTATATAAAACAGCTGAATAGTAGCTAAAGAAATGTAGAAAGAAGCTTAAATTTCCAAAAGGAAGTAGAGGGAGCTTAATTGTGCTCACTAAGGCTGAAACAAGCTAAAATTAGCACAATAAAGTTGAAATTATCTGAGGAAAGCTGGAATTTGCTAGCTGAATAGTAGCTAAAAAAAGCAGAAAGAAGCTTAAATCACTAGAAGGATGTTGGGGAACATGTTTTTTTCTGAATTAGGCTGACAAAAGTTTAAATGACTGCAAAAAAGGTGGAATTAGCTAATAAAGATGAAATTAGCATGAAAACAGCTAAATGCTAGCTGAAATAGTAGAACTAGCCGAAACATCCAGAAATAAGCTGAAAGGAGCAGAAAAAGCATAAATAAGTTTGAAGAAGTACAAAAATATTGACGTTAGCAGAATGAAGCTGAAAGAAGCACAAAACAGCTGGAAAAACAGCTGAGTTAGCTGAACTAGCTGAATTTTGGTTAAAATTTTGCACAAAGAAGCTGAAAAAACCTTAACCGGGTCTAAATGTGAAAGTATTAGTACAAGGGTGTGAACGCTTCAAAAGTTATGAAGGATGTAAAATGAGCTCCATTCATTTTCAGTGAGAGTAAAAATGGCAGAAAAGGCTAAATATCTCAAGAAGCTAAAGTTGCACCAATACCAAAAGTCATAGCAGACATGTCCTGAAACAGCTGAATGTTTTGATATGTGACTTGTTGAAACAGCACAAAAACTGTGGGAGTAGTTAGATGCTGAAAATCGTACGGAAGAAAAAGTGGCTCTCAATAGTGTGAATGGTAGGCATTCACACTATTAACACGCCTTGGCTTCTTTTTTCTTCCACAGCCGAACACCGTCAGTCTGAGCTAGCAGCTAATGGTGTAGCTGAGTTGGACCGAACATTTTGCGCCCCCAGTTTAAAACCCTCCACTCTTCAGGAGGCACTGGTTCCATGTTGGCGTCTTACCGTTGCAGTCTGCGGCTCTCTGTACGGAGGACACACCATGTGGAAGCGAGGAATGGCCACCTGGAACACGTCTTCCTTGTTGGCTGAAAGACAGACAGACGTGAGAAGAAGAACGTGCGTGCCGGAGCCACCTCGGAGGCGCAGAGCCTCACCGAGCCTGTGGAAGGTGTAGTGACCCTCCATGTACTCCGACGGGGTGGAGAAGGTGGTGCAGCTGGCGTACTCGTGCACCTTCCCGGGCGTCATCACTGGAAACTCTCCTGCACACAAACACATCATCAGCGGCTCGTCTCGGCTGCTCCTCCTTCACTTTGTTCTCCTTCCCAGCAGGAAGGAGGCGACGCACCGACCACGCCCGGACCCTGAACCTCCTCCACGTTGCCGTCGGACGTGGTGATCTTCCAGTAGCGGCTGTCGAGCTGACAGGCGGCTTCAGGCGAGGCGCTGCGGGACATTTCTATCCTGCAAACACGTGCGCACGCCCGTTAACCTCAGCAGAGACGCGACGAGCTGGAGTCAGGCAGAGGCGGCGTACCTGATCCGGTAGGTGAAGAAGAAGTGAGGCGGGTGGACGGACGACAGCTCCGGAAGGAAGGAGGTAGAAACAGAAACGGTGATGTCACCCGTGGTGGCCGTGCAGCCTTTCTCGTGCTCGTACCTGCAGAGACGGCACGGGTCAGTCTGATTCAAAGCTTCTCTCTGCCGTCGGTCTGAGCGTTACCTGAAGATTTGGTCTTTGATGATGGGATACTCTCCTGTGACCACGTTGTTCACGTAGCTGGAGAACCAGTCCAAGAAACTGGAGCCTGAAAACACAAACAACCTCTCAGGTTTTTATTTGTTCTTCAAATTCACGCCGGATTTTATGTGTTTTCTGTTTAGTGGAGCCTTTTTATGATATTTTTAGTTAAGATCACAGAAATTGCTAATCATTTCTTTTTTTAGGGGTGCACCGATAAATCGATTTATCGGCCCCGATGTCCTTAATTTTGGGAGATTGGCGATCGGCCGACACTTAGACGAGAAACAGATTTTACAGATTTTGTTTTAACAACAATTGTCTGAACTTCATTTATATTTCAGAGCACGACCTCATGGTCAGTTAAAACCAGTTTGTATTGTTTCTAGGAAATTGTTCAAGGGTATGTTTTTCAACAAAATATTGGAAAACTGAAGGTGCATTGTGAACTTATAACACCTGACAACGTCGCTTATAAAACAAAATCGGAATCGGCAGCTCAGACTTCTTAGAAATCGATGATCGGCCGGAAAACTGCAATCGGTGCGCCCCTAATTTAATTTATTGTTTTGTTATTTTTTTATGTTCCACGAACCTGCAGATAAAAATTAGTCTGTAACCCTGCAAAATAAATAAAAAAAAGATTTGTTAATAATGTAATTTTTAATTTAAGTTAATTCATGTTTATCGTCTCTCTTTTAAGTAAATAAATATAAATTTGCTTAAGGCTGTCTAATAGGGATGCACGATATTATCGGCCGATATCAGCAATAAAGTTAAATATCGGACATATATATATATATACATATAT